GGGGGGGGGACAGACAGACATTGTTGCCAAACTTCGTATTTTTACATTTCAGACCATTCTACATCATTGCCAGGCAAAATTTGAAAATCGAAAAATTCAAGGATTGCAAAGCTTCCATTCGGAAGCAAAAACGTGAATTTTGGCAGAAAGGGTGTAGAACATCCTTAATGATGTTTCTATCTTTGAGTAGAGTTTGGAGTTTGAGAAAATTATGAGAATTAATGGGAACAAGGGTATGTGGCCGTTATCGTCCAATTACTTTCCAAAAAAGTGGTTGATAGATCTCATATTACTCATATAAATATTTAAATGAGCAATGAATATTAAGGAGTTATATGAGTAATATGAGATCTATCAACCACTTTTTTGGAAAGTAATCGGACGATACCAGCCACATACCCTTGATCCTATTAATTCTCATAATTTTCTCAAACTCCAAACTCTACCTACCAGCCAATCGGAATTTAACGGGCAAAGACAGAAACATCATTAACGCCGATTCATTTTTCATCACCCAGTCGGAAATAATCGGACTGTTTTACCAGGGGACTCACTCCTTGTTCTCAAAAGACTACAACCCATCAAAATTATCCACAAATTTATTAAAGCAAACAAGATTAAAATCTAAAACACGATATGTCTATTGTACACAGAGAATGTGAACTAAATCAAGCAAAATATGTAACAGCCACCTTACGATTGTAAATAACCCATTACAGGTTAATACATAAATATATAATAAATAAAAATTATCGTTGCCTATGCTTAATTAAGCTTCTACGATACAGGAATCATTGACAAAGTTGCAATGTGTAATTTAAGAAAAAAAATTTTTTTATGAATTGCCCTATGCCAAGAAGTATGGAATCATTCAGCCCCACATTTTATACATAAGTATGGCTCANTGTGTGCGTACGTCTGTGACAAAAATTTTGTGCCACGATTCCTCCTGAACAAACGATGCGATTTGACTTTTTTTTTTTAATCGCTGTATTTTCATGTGACTTGAACCTGATTATAGATTATGGAGACAAACGTCTCAGCGTTTCTCCAGTTTTTTCCAAANGTGTGTGAGTGCGAGCACGCGCACGGATTTTCTTGTCTTCTATGGGTATTTCCTCGGAGAAATGTGAGAAAAAGATTGAATAAATACATAATAAAAAAATTAATGAAAGAAAAAACAAATGGTCGGGAAGTTATTGGTGCGACCCGTAATGGGTCACATCCAATTCCACCAACCCCTACCGGTCATACCCTAAAGAGGGAGCGCGCGAAGCGCGCGACCGGGCCTGATTTTTTCTAGAGTTATCGTGAAGGATTTTATCAAAAATATACAAAAAATTGGAAAATGCCATTTACTACCTAGTTGTCCGTAGTTAAGTTGAGATATTATGATTTCATAATATAGAAATAATCATAAGGAACATTTTGGCGTCAACCAAATTCAATTTAGTCGTGTAGTTTTTTAGATATTGAGGAAATTTTTTTTTTTTAATCTGCTATATCTCAACAACTACTTGACCGATCGAACTGAAATTTCGCCTGGATTTGCTCCCAAACAATGCCAATTATCCCACAAAATTTCCAATTTTTTGCTTTTTCAACTTTACTCCTTTCTTTGTTGAAATTAAAAAAAAAATCCGAAAAATCCGCACATACATATGGACATGCACACACACACACACGCACACACACACACATTTCTTAAAAACATCATATTTTCGCGTTTCATAACATTATACATCATTTCCAGGTAAAATTAGAAGATCGTAAAAATGATCGATTACAAAGCTTCCATTCGGAAGCAAAATGGAGATAGTGAGTAGAGATAGTTCAACCTATTGTGTAAATATATTTCTTCAAATATTTCATAAACTACTTGAGGGAATTCAATTTTTTTTTTAAATACTTGTCTCGGTGGCTACTATCTAGATCAATCAAAATATGTCTACCCGTCCATACAATTATTCAAAGATACTCCCGTTTTTTCGTTTTGCAAATTTTTTCATTCTTGTACGCACGATATTTAGAGAAAAAATGAAAATAGCAAATTGAAATTTGGTGTGATTATAGCTCTTACAATATTGAAGATTCGTATTTTGGATAGGCGCAATCGACGAGCAGTTTCGGAGATATTTAACCTTTTGTATAAATCTATTTCATTAAAAGGTTGAATATCTTCCTGTAGACATCCTATAGTTTACGGTTACGGTTGTATTTCTGTCACAAGGACAATGAATTGCTACGGATCCATTCGGAAGCTTACTACCAATGGAATTGGTGGAAATGAAAAAAAGAAAAGGACTAATAACGCAAAAAGTAACGGTCACATGCCTTGTGTCGGATGGGCTCGAACCCCTGCTTGTTCGTAATTCAACTCCTACACAGCTAATTTCGTTATTATTTTAATAAAAAATGCACCATTCATATAAAATAGCGCGAAAAATATTTCTGAAGGGATCGAGAATATATTTTTTATATTTTAAAGATAATTTTTCAGCCTATTTTACATCAATGGCGCAAATTTTTATATTAAACAAAACGAAATTAGCTGTGTAGGAGTCGAATCTCAAAAAACTAATTCGTAATTGGTATTATATACATTTTTTCAAAAGTTTTGAAAAAAAATCTCTGTAGCTCAAAAATTGAAAGCTCTGGACTCTTTTTAACATTTTAAGCGTTTGCGGGCCAAACGAAGAATAAACAATTAATTTTTTTGCACTAATTATTCGTTTTTAGACATATATAATCGATCTTCAATGTTTAATTTCTTCATGAGAAATCTCACTCCAATATCCCACGACTTTTAAAACTCATAGTAGTCGCCCCTTAAAGGGAAAGGGAACCTCTGCGTCTATATGAACTTTTAGAATTGTGTTTTCTCCTGCAATTATTATTTTTTAATTATGAAACTACTTTATTGACTTAACAATGCAATGATCGAATCAATAAAGTAATTTCCTAGATATAAATTAATCATTGTAGGAGAAATCATAATTATAAAAATTGATATAGATACAGGGGTTCCGTTCCCCCTTAATAAAGATGAACTTTCTCATATATTACGTTTGTACCATTGATGAATTTGATATAATCATACGTACTCGAACAGTGTAGCTTGACAGGCGGGAGGCAAAGTTCCTTGGCAATGTCCGTGTTCTTTAGTTTCAGAGCTTCATCAACCTGTGAAAAATAATTGAAAAATAATAATACAATACAGCATTGTATCTTACAATAATAAAGTGCAGTGTTAAGTAGCATATACAGTTTTCCCTTTCACCCATTCCGTAGCAAGGGAGCTAGATGCAATAGCCGAACCACATCCAAATGTCTTGAACTTGGCATCAATAATTTTTCCATTCTCATCAACTTTGATCTGCAGTTTCATAACATCGCCACATGCCGGTGCTCCAACAAGTCCAGTTCCGACTTGCTTGTCATTCTTGTCCAGGGCTCCAACGTTTCTTGGATTTTCATAATGATCCAACACCTGTAATTAAACCGCAAACCATCAATCCTTAATAAAACAGCACCGAATTTTCCTCCACAATTTCATGACATTGCCAATACATTTATACTGTTATAGGTTATATTTACATTTGCGTGATAAGACACACACGGAGTACTCCGTGACACTCTCGTCAATGACCCGAGAAGTTTAGCTGGTGGCGATAAACGCCACAGCGACATTATTATTTTGATCCTCCCACAGAAATTAACGAAAGTCAAAATCAAGCGTTGACAATTATCACCTCACCTTTGAAGTCACACTTTTAACACTTGAATTTTTGGACAATTTTCGTGTTCCTCCGTATGACAACTGGGTATGTGTGGATGTGCGTGGGGATTAGCCAAAGTGGGGGTAGCTACGAAGGAACGGACTCGTCAATTGGCCTATATATATTGAGAGAGCACACGAGTGGCTGGCTGATCAGCAACATGGCATATATATATGCAGCACTCGGCTGAATAACTTCTGTCCCACTTGAAATGGTTCCACCCGTGTAAGCCCAACGGGGAAACCAACTTCAGGTCGGACAGAACTTATTTAGTCGAGTGTACAGCGCAGATCGACATTAATTTGCGGGTAGGTGGGGGGGGGGAGCAATAGCATGAGAGATATATATCTATATACAGCGTTGCGCGACCGCCGTGCAACCGGAAATATCGTCATACGTCGAGTTGGCCCTACATCGCGCTCCTCGCTCCACTGTGCCTCGTAGAGGTCTAGCACGATTGCAAGACATTGTTGGTTATATTCGACACTTTGATGAACGTAGTTTTTTAAAACCACTGTGGAATTTTTCATTCCCTCTGATATTGATAATCGATTATTAATTAGTGAATATTTTTTTATTGAAATAAGTAAGTGGGAAAGAACAAAGGAAAAATGGTTTTAGCAGATTTAGGACGTAAAATAACGTCCGCTCTACGATCGTTGAGCAATGCAACTGTCATTAACGAGGAAGTGAGTGAAATTTAATGTTTTTGGTAAACAGATGGGATGGGACATTTGTAAGTGTTGCATGTGAGGAGTATCGAAATGATGAGGGGATGTTTTTTGGAGAGTTTTTGCTACAAGATACCGGAGTAATCCAATGTTTACAAATAATTTACAAGACAAAATGCTGACCTTTTTTGCAGGTTTTGAATTCTATGCTCAAAGAGATCTGTGCAGCTCTCCTGGAGGCTGATGTCAATATTCGACTTGTCAAAAAATTGCGAGAAAATGTACGTACGGTTATTGACTTCGATGATATGGCGGGGGGACTCAACAAACGACGGATGATACAGAGTGCAGTTTTCAAAGAACTTGTCAAGGTAAATAAAATGAAACCTTAGGGACAAGTTGTCAGCAATATATCAAATGTGTTACCATTTTTATGGCATGTTGGAAATTTTTCCTTCTTTCGGGGGAGACTACTATGAGTTTTAAAGGTCGCGGACTATTGGAGTGAGACTTCTCATGTATTGAAGATCGATTATATATGTCTAAAAACTAATAATTAATGCAAAATTAATTGTTTATTGTCCATTGGCCCCGCAGACGCTTAAAATGTTGAAAATAGTCTAGGGCCTCCAATTTTTGAGCTACTGAGGTTTTTTTTTCAAAATTTTTGAAAAAATGTGTACAATAATAATTATGAATTATTTTTTTGAAATTCGCCTCCTACACAGCTTTCGTTTTTTTTTAATGTAAAAATTTGTGCCATTCATGTAAAATAGGCTGAAAAATGATCCTTAAAATATTTAAAATATATTCTCGATTCTTTCAGAAACATTTTTCGGGCTATTTTACATGAATGGTGCAATTTTTTATTGAAAAACATACTAAATTAACTGTCTAGGAGTTGAGTTTCTAAAAACTTATTCGTAATTGTTATTGCACACATTTTTTCAAAAATTAAAAAAAAAATGTAGCTCAAAAATTGGAGGCGCTGGAATATTTTCAATATTTCAAGGGACTACGGGGGAAAAGAACAATAAACATTGTTTTTGCACTAATTACTCGTTTTTAGATATATATAATCGATCTTCAATCTATGAGAAATCTTATTCGAATAGCCCGCCACTTCTAAAACTCACAGTAGTCTTCCGTTAATATTCAAATAATTGTTTTCAATGGCAGAAAAAAATTCAGATGTTGATTGTTTAGATTTATACTACATATATTGAATTTTGAAACATCTTCGTAAATTGCAATAAATTTCTATATACCTAATCCCGAGATTTGAATTAATCTAATGATAAAATGGACATTTTTGATTAACAAAAAATATTTACAATTCAGAAACAGATTTCTCAATTGTGCTCAGTCTACATTGAGAGAAAAACAAACACGTTCTCAAACAAGTCTTGTTTGGGCCAACAAAATCGCTAATTAAAAATTGCCAAAAACGAATTTGTTTGGTTCGAATTTGAAAGCCTCAAAGACGAATAATTGTTCTGCTTTCGACAGCAATGAAATATTTGGCTGAAGAGACGAATAATTCACACTAGACTGTGCCTTTTTAGGATAAAAATATCTCATATAGAGGAAAATTTATCAACAAATATTTTGTCCCTAAGTTACAAGATTGTTATCATATTATTATTGTTTCATTTAAGGGTTCATTTCTTGTCTGATTATTAGACAGTCGAAACAAAAAACTACTATCCCTTGTTTCGCATAAAACAAAGATTTTTCGGGAGCAAAATACGTATGGGAGTATCGAATAACGAAGGAGTAGTGCTAGACATGACATTTCTTGCGTGTACAACGAATGCATTTTGTTTGAACTACTAAATTTATTTTTCCGACAAAAAATTTTCATTCCGGCGTACTCTCTGCATATTTGGCACAAAAAATCCTTTTTTGATAATTTTCAAAAAACTTTTCTTGGCACAAGTAAGACTTGTTTCAGAACTTTGTCGTTTTTCTCTCAGTGTAGATTCATGACGAAGGAAAAGAATTGTTTTTTCCATTGGAAAAAATCCATATCTGTTGACAATTCAACACGTCATTAACATTTAAAAAAAAGTCAAATGTGTGCATTTTAGCCCAGTATTTTCTACTCTGGATGTATCTTAAGAAGTAATAAAATTAGCTGAATCCGTTATTCCCTTACCTCAAGTAATTTGTTCAAGTGAAAAAACAGTTCTTATCAATAACTTTGATTATTTTCAGATGTTCTTATATTACACTTTTTATCACTTGTAAAATCGATAATTAACGCTTTATCGAATTTCAACTACCATTCGATTGATAAGACTTTATTGCAGAGTAATAGATGATCATTAGATCGATATCAACCTCAAACTATGCAACTTTGAATATAATTTTTTCACTAAAACCAATAATTGTGGAAAAAATATTTGTTGAAAAATTAATCGCCAGATGTAAATCATTATTTTTTACTTTTTCCCCAGTTAATTGATCCTGGAGTGAAAGCCTACCAGCCAGTGAAAGGTCGCCCCAATGTGATAATGTTCGTGGGTCTTCAAGGATCTGGAAAAACAACCACCTGTACAAAACTGGCTTATCACTACTTGAAGAAAAATTGGAAGGCCTGTTTGGTTTGTGCCGATACATTCCGTGCTGGTGCCTATGACCAAATCAAACAGAATGCAACAAAAGCCAGAATACCCTTTTATGGAAGTTACACAGAAGTGGACCCAGTGGTAATAGCTCAAGATGGTGTCGAGATGTTCAAAAAAGAAGGATATGAAATTATAATAGTGGATACAAGTGGTAGACATAAGCAGGAAGAGTCGCTCTTCGAGGAGATGTTACAAGTGTCAAATGCAGTTCAACCAGACAATATAATTTTTGTGATGGACGCGACAATAGGACAAGCTTGTGAGGCCCAAGCCAAGGCTTTTAAAGATCGAGTGAACGTTGGTTCAATTATAATCACAAAATTAGATGGACATGCTAAAGGAGGTGGTGCATTATCAGCTGTTGCTGCTACCCAAAGTCCTTGCATATTTATTGGTACTGGTGAACATATAGATGACCTTGAATCCTTTAAAACAAAGCCCTTCATCAGTAAATTATTAGGAATGGGTGATATTGAGGGTTTAATCGATAAAGTAAATGAGTTAAATCTGGATGATAACGAAGAGCTTTTAGAAAAAATCAAACACGGTCAATTTACCCTTCGTGACATGTACGAGCAGTTCCAGAATATAATGAAACTGGGACCATTCTCACAGATACTCCAGATGATTCCTGGATTTAGTCAAGATTTTATGTCAAAGGGAACTGAGCAGGATTCGATGGCAAGATTGAAGAGGCTCATGACAATAATGGACAGTATGAATGATGCAGAGTTGGATAGCAGGGATGGAGCGAAATTATTTAGCAAACAAACAGGAAGGATCACAAGGCTTGCTAGGGGCTCTGGGGTCACTGAAAAGGAGGTCAAAGACTTGATAGCACAATACACGAAATTTGCAGCTGTTGTTAAAAGAATGGGAGGAATCAAGGGACTATTCAAAGGGGGTGATATGACGAAGAATGTTAATCAGACACAGATGGCTAAATTGAACCAGCAAATGGCCAAGATGATGGATCCTAGAGTCTTACATCAAATGGGTAATATTATGTTTTTGTGTTTTTTTTTGTTTGTCCATTCTAAGGGATTTCTCGAGTTTCCTTGAAATGCTTCATTCAATTGTACATCTAATGCGTGAATCCCATTCAAAATCTTTGGTAATTATGCAATCATCTCTAGAATGAGTCATTTTTGTTAAGTACAGATATTTCTGGAATTTTTAAGACCAATGTCAGTTCGATAGTACAAACGGTTGCCAAGATCGACGATTATCGGAAGTTTTTTAATAACGAATCAGTAATTCATTGAATCGAAATTTTGTTTGCGCCATTCGACAAAAGACTGTATAGAGTATGTTCGGTGAAAAATTCAGAATTTTTGATTAAAATTATGTCGATAAACGAGAGGTTTCAATATATATCCGACATCGAATTCAGTTCCGTAATGTTTATGTATTAAACAAAAATATTAAAAATAACTTGAAAAGAAAAAAATCGAATCGAATTGTATTGATAATTTTATCTATTTCATGGGAAAATTTTTAGAATTTCGACATTTACAATAGTACGAAAGATAATGATTTTTTATTAACACCGTTGGTCGCGCTATGAGCGCCGCGTCGTACTTTTTTCGATTGTTTAAATTACACTACAGTAAAGCCTCAGAAAATTTTCAAAAAAATTGACATCTCATTTTGAATTATCTAGAAGGCCTATCAATGAAAATATCCACAAAAATTATCATAAGTACAGTAGAATCCCGCTGTTTGCATAATTCTTCTTTTGCGCTTTTGTCCCTTCCACTAATGCATCTTCTCCCACTTTCCCTCTGAAACAACCAATCGGGCGTGACAACCACGCAGGACGATTCGAAACAAACATGTAGGTTTTTGCATCAATTTTAGATTCAAATATTTTTAGTAGTGTCTATTCACACGGTCCACGATAAATTTTACCGTGGATATAGGGTACATTTTACCGCGGATATACGGTAATTTCTACCGTGGATATAAGGTAAGCAGTGGGGTACGTTAGGCCCATTTTTTTACCGTCGATAAAAGGTAATTCTTACCGTGGATATAAGGTAAATCAGTGGTGTGCATCGGGCCCATTTTTACCGTGGATATAGGGAAGATTTTCACCGTGGATATAAAGTAATTTTTTTTACCGTGCATATAAGATGAGTGAATGGTGTGCAGTGGGTCCATTTTTACCGTAGATGCAAGGGAGATTTTGCGGTGGATCGAAGGTAATGTCTAACGTGTATATAAAAGAGATGAATGGTAAGCATTACGTAGGGAAATTGTCTCGTGGATCCAATTATATCGCGGATTTGAGCCATTAAAGCTTCGAAGATCAGGGGAGCGATGACAAGGGTCAAACGAGAGAAGAAAACGCTGTAAAAACAGTGTGTTTGACACCCATCGGAATTTCAGATGTCAGACGGAGAAAAGACATCTGAATCATCATAAGTGTCTCAAAATGGTCTAGATGTTTGAAAATTTCAGATACAATTTGTATCTGGAAACGCTTTAAACATTTTTTTGTCTGAAAAATTTCACACATTTATTTTCAGACAGTTTTTGCGTCTGAAATTCAGTTTTTTTTTTTTTTTACCGACGTCGGTGGCCGAAGCGGCTAGGTGCGAGCCTAGTGTGCGAAAGGTTGTGAGTTCGATTCCCCGTGGAACCGAGTTTTTCAACCGGAGGCTCTGGCGAGCGGGAGGTCGCTAATATAGTGACCGCCTGTACCGCCATGGGTTTTCTGTGGTTTCCCATGCTACTCCTATGTTCTATTGGAAACGCTAAATATCAAAACGCCACCTATGAATGGCGGATATTGGGCTGCACACAGACAGTATACAACCGAATTTGGGCTTGTGTTAGCGTGTATATGGGAAGCCTAAAATCGTCCATATTGGTGAAAACGAGCGCCGCCATCGGTAATTAGCGGTCCCAATAGGAGTGCGAATGCGGTGCAGTGTAGAATCCACAACCGCATGCATAGGGTTGGATAGGGCCGATTAGCCAATCAGAGGGCAGGAAGGGCCGGAATAAAAAAAAAAATCAGTTTTTTAGAAGTGATTCAGACATTTGACTCTTCAGAAGTATTCTCTGTGTCAAACAGCTGACTCCATTCAAACACAAAAATTTCAGACAAATCTCCTGTCTGAATATATTTCGTTATTCATGATTTTATTAGTCAATTACTGAATTGATAATGACTGGATGAATTGATTTAAATTGACGAAGAATATATAGAGAATATGTATATTCGAAACCGAAATCCTTCATATTAGTAAAAATTATCAAGCTATTTTTTCTCTATTTTCATCCATGTTTGAAAAAAAAATAGAAATCGTCGATTGAAAAATTGAGTTAATTTCTATTCATCTTCATATTTATATTGGCGCTCGGTTGGCGCACCAAGTGCTCAGCACAGATCGACCAATCCTTGCGTTGTGCTATATTGCTTGTACGAGAAGAACGGCCTTGAAAGAGGCGAATATCCTGACGTTAGACGCTGCTCAAAACCGATAATATTCTCTAATTCCTTATACGTACAGTCGGTTGAGGAAAAAATTGTCGTTCGTTCCTTGTCTTGACGGTTTACGTGAAAAGTGAGGTTAAGATCGATTGTTGTGGGGATAATTGTTCAGATAGTATCAGTGGTGGAGTGACACTTTTTTTTCGATGAAATGGGGGCAGAGAAGACTATCTTAATAGTTTCTCATCGAGACAGGACTCTTCAAATTTTTTTCCAATAGTTACTTATTATCGCATATGGGCCTGGGACAAGGCGAGGAAATGAGCTTGGTTGTAGGGTCAGTTTACATGCCCTATGACTCGGCTGAACCATCTCCTTCGAAAAAAGTAAAGGACCTATGCAACCATGTGAAGGAAAGGGGACTTGAACTCCTACTAGGTTGTGATGCCAACTCGCATCATGTAGCATGGGGAGCACCGGCATTAACGGCAGGGGGGAAAGCCTCCAGGAATTCATAATGAGGGCCGGTCTAAATATCCTTAATAGGGGGTCAGAACCTACCTTCATAGATCGGAGACGACAGGAGGTCATAGATATCACTCTGGGGA